AGGCTGCAGAATTGTTTACAATTTGATTTCATTTATTAGAATGCTTTACAATTTGTGTTTAAAGGTTTTCTAAATTGCTTCTTTGGGCAAATTTAACCAATGGTGTGACTTGAAATACTTTTTAGCTTGAATTTGCCAGACTTGCGCTCTTTAGCCTTTGGTGTATTGTTTAAAACATGAAGATTGCTTCTGTGGGACTACGCCATTCCCAAATGACCTCACAGCCTCTACCCCTTCTTGTGTACTGAGTAAAATGGGTGACGTATTCCTAAAATAAATTAAAAGTATAATTCACCTTTATAACAGATGGTATGAGATAAATAGAAAGTTTTTTAAAAAACATGGAATCATAAATGTCATCATAATCATCTGACTTACGGGAATAAACATTTTTAGAATATTTCGTTTGGGGTGGTGTGCATAGCAAAGCTTGGTTCCTCATCTCTTGGCCTACAAGAAATACTTTATTGAATAGGAAAAGACGAAAAAGTCCACAGATATAAATTGAAAAAATATATAAAGCCAGTAAAAATTATACATGAGTTTGTTTTCTGAAATCGTACCTTTTAATTTAACATCTTTTGTTTGTTTCCCCGAACTTCGATTGGAACGTCTAGTATCCATTTGATATCTATATTAGAAATAATATTTAATAATATTTTTTTTACTATATACAAAAGTTTAACTATATTTTTTTGTAGTTTATAAATTGTTCAATCAGTTTTCAGAAATATGTTGCAAACAAATTGACATTTTACACAACTGTCATGTCAACCATGACATGATACCAACATAACCGAATTATATTAATATTTGAGGTTATGTTAATGATTTTGACATTCAGTCAAAAGTAACGTAAAATTTTTAGTTCAAATAAAAGCATAAATTAAAGTATATCGATGATATTCAATAATATAGAGTGATTTTATAAAAGTGGCAAGTTGTTTTTATAAAAATTCTAATGGATCCTCCCGAATCTACATTGGAAGCATCTGCTAATAACTATTCAGGTACCAATTTTAATCATCTGTATAAAACGAGAGGTTATAAAGAAGAATCACAAGCAAATCGCCGCCGAAAGCTATTAGAGCATCAAAAAAGGTGATTTATTAAGTATTCCTACATATACTACTGTATAAAGCCTATAGTGGAAATTCATAAATATTGTTTTTTCTTTGTTTCATATTTTCAAAGCTTAACTATTCAAAAATTCATGCCTCTACACTAGAATTACTACACCCCCATAAGTCATTGCTTTTATGTGCTTGAAAATATATTGTATATTGTACAATATGCTATGAAACGTTAGTTAGTTAAATTTTATAAATATTTGCAAGAATAATAATATTATCCTATACCTTAGTGATTTAATAATAATAATTTGCAGAAATCGTAGCAATGCTCACGATAGTTCAAGATTATCTTTATTGGCCCAATGTGAAGAGGAAGAGTCCCCAAAATCCAAACCAAAGGTTCATTTAGTTTTTTTATTAAATTATTTGAAATATTGTCGAAAACTTAGAGTTAATTTAATCTAGAATTCTTTTTGGATTGCTGAAACCTTTTCTATTAGTATTTCATATTGCTAATTCTTTTATCCATTAATTTCAGAATAAACATGCATTAAATAATTATAATACAGTAAAATTATACTCAAATCAGTTAATGTTTTCTGAATGGATGGAAGAATTACCTGAAAATTTTGAAGATGATTGGTTCATGGTACCTTGCCCTATGGGCATAAGAGTGCTTTTGGTTGCAAGCCGGGTACAGTTTATTATATCTTAAAATATTTAATATAAAATTATAGTTATTTCTATTATTTATTATCTAGGGTAGAACAAAGCATTTACCAAGCGTGGTCGATGCATATTTGATTTCCAGTCTGCTTTGCCTGGTGGATCTCGTTCTAAGCAATCTGATATACATGGTTATACAATTTTAGATTGTATTTTCTCTGAGTTAACAGAAACTTTCTATATATTAGATTTGCTTGCTTGGGGGAAGCAACCTTTTGTCAACTGTGAGGTAAATTTATTTCACAGATTTAATAAATTTATTATAGCTTATATAATACTTATATTTCTTGCAGACAGAATTCAGGTTTTTCTGGCTGCAAGGACAGTTGTCAGAAAGAGTAGAGTTATCCGAAAAAAATGATAAATCGAATTTATACCCATTTTCTCTTTTATCTCACTATGAATGCAGTATTGAAACTATTTCAAATGTATTAAATAACTGGCCATTTTTTAATAATAATACTCCAAAGGTTGATGGGTTACTATTTTATCACAAAAATACTTCATATACCGCTGGATATACTCCTACAGTTTTGTGGCTTTTTTCATTTATGGTTCCAGAAATTATTAGCAGGAGTATGTTTCATACGAATTTAGGAAGACTTGACTTTTAATAATCTATAATAAAACCATTAATTCATTTTTAGATATTATGATTGATGATAATTATATGCAGGAAAAACCAGCAGATTATGAAAACCAAAAATTATTCATAGAAAAATTCAATGAGGACCAGAAAAAAAAGAAGAAAGGAAAAAGTTATTTAAAATCACTGGTTATGGAAACAGAGGGCACGGTAGAGGAAACAGAGGATAGTCCATTATTATCAGATATGGAAATTACGTAGTGTTTAAGCCATTTACACAATCAATCTGCAACAGTTAAATTTATGATAATACATAGGATGCATAAAAGTTTTATAAGACCAAAAACAATACTTTATAATAATCTAAATATTATTGAAATAATTCTGAGTTACTTCACTTTATTATTCATTAAAAGTTAAAACAGCGGTAGCTAATGAATCATGTTTTATATCGTTTTAAATCATATTTTTATAATTTCATCTTACTATTTATTGAAGAATTAACGAATATTTTAAATATTCCTTTTTTAAATTAATCGCGGGCATTTTTGACATTTCATGCACTGGATAATGAAGTGACATCATGGCGGCCGTTTATATCTGACAATTAACAAAATCACGTTTTATTTAAAATTTACTGTTGAAGAACAAAATCTAAGCATCGTACTATGTCTTTCTTATCAAAATATTACATTTAAATTGTTCTAGTGCAGATTTTTTTCATATTTAACAATATAACCTACAAATGTATTTACTTTCCCATGCCGTTTAAAGTTATTAATAAACCATGTCAAGTGAAACCAAGGAAAAGATTGCTGCTTGTGAAGTATACATCAATGATGTATTAAGGGAAAGCCTTAAATCAATTGAAGACTGTTTAAGAAAAGTCAATCAAGAAATCACAGAGTACATCGACTTAAAACACAGCTTAGAACATATCAAAAATGAACCTGAAAAGCCTTTCAAAAGCCAAATGGACATCGGTTGTGGATTCCACATACAAACTAGAGTTGACAATGTATCCCAAGTGCTAATTAATATTGGTTTAGATATATATCTTGAATTTGCAGTTCCAGATGCTATAACTTTTCTCAATAATCGAATTAGGAAATTAACGGAGCATACAGAAAAGTTAAGAGATAAATCAGCTAAAACCAAAGCACATATTAAGCTTTTGTTAGTTTTTATTGGTCAGATGGAAAACTTATGATTTAAAATCACAATAATTATTGAAGAAAATATATCCTGCATATATATTATATCAAATATAGTTCTTAAAATATTTTGTTCAGTATACTAGTTGATAAAAAGCTCATTTATTTTTGGTGTATTTTGTTACTTAAAATGAAATTGTTGATTTAAATTTTATCTGTAACGAATGTTAATAAAAATGACTTTAATAAACTTTACTCATTGTATCATTCCAAATCACATTTCATCGCATCCTTATTTGCTTATTATTATAATACACACAATATTATACATATACTTACTTTTTTTATTGGATTTATTCCATAAATTTAAAATTAATAAAAATCAGTTTGATGCAAACATAAAATTTATTATTTAAAATAATAAGTTTAATCAATTTTATACTTATCGCAAATTATATTCTATAAGCAATTAAACATGATTTTATAGAAATTGATTACATTATAATCAATGTGATATCAGTAATTATTTAAAAACACAAATATATATATATATATATATATATATATTATAGAATTTTGTGATATGAGTGGAACGAATATTAAATGTTAAATATGAACAAAGCAACAATCATATATATATATATTACGGATATTATTTTCATGTAAATTTTATCCTTTGCACTTTTATTTATTTAAATTTATATTATTATTTATCAATATTACTTGATGTTAATAATTTAGCAGTTGTAATAATTATTGAAATTAAATACATCTAAGTCTGTTTTTACACGGAGATTGGTTCCAGAAGAAGCCGTGTAAAAAAAAAACGTGTAAAAAAAGACATTGATCTTATACAAAAATGGGTGATTTGTTCCTAATCTGTAAACCCTATTAAAATTGGTGAAAAACAAGAATTTTTAAGAACAAGAATTAAATTAGTGCTATTCACATTTGCTTTGACCAGTAAAAATTGTTTGTACGGGCTAAAGGGGAATTCACTTAAATCTTTAAGCTAGTGTTCGCAAATTATCGATACTATCGATGGTTTCAGATTTTTTTCTTTCATAAATACTTTTTTGTGATATGAACATACTTCGCAAAAATTTAATTTGACAAAAAAAAATTTAGGTACATAAAATTTCAAATCGTGCTAAATGCAATAAATTCGTGTAAAAAAATTAAAAATATTCAATTTTCAAACCGTGTTATATCAAAACCGTGTACAAAAAGACCGTGTAAAAACAGACTTAGGTGTATATATATATATATATATATATATAAGGGGTGGTTCTTAATATGGATATTTTCGAATTTCTTTGCTTCCAGAGGACAAAAGCTTCCAAATTGATGAAAAAAAATTTCTGAAAGTATTAGCTCTTAATACTCAATAATTAATTTTTAAAGATATCTATCCACGGATTTTTAAACAAAACTTTTGCCGTTTTATTTTTATTGAAATATTCAAAGATATCTATCGGATACACGGATTTTTATACAAAGTTTTTGCTGTTTGATTTTTATTAAAGAGTTTTAAACAAAGTTTTTGCTGTTTTATTTTTATCAAATATTCAGAGATATTATCCATGAAATTAATAGAAAATGTCTATGTATAAAAATTATTGTTATTGTAACATATTTGATACTATTGAAAATAAACCTTAAATATAATAAAAAATATCTTTTTATTTAAACTTGATCCTATAATATGCTTTATATCCACAGGTCATTATAATATTTCAATTAAAAAAAAAAAAAAAGTTTTACTTTGTTTTTCAAACAGTGAATTATGTGATATTATTTCTTCATATATTTTTTATACTAAATCAATTTTTGTATTTAATTTTCTATATAGATTTTTTAATATATAATGCATGTTAATATATATGCATATATTAACATATATTATATATATATATATATATATATATATTATATATATAAGTGTAAGTAATCCATGACGAGAGGGATGTTAGAAATATTTTGTATATTTTATTTATTAAGTAATTATTATTTTTATATGATTTGTGTAATTATGATGAAATAAATTTATGTGCGTATTGATATTTACAAATGTTGTTTTCTTAATTAGCTACATGTAATAAAAATAGAATAATAAACTACTGCTAAAAGGTTGATACTAAAAACTATGTTACCAGTCTATATAAATATATGTTTATGCTCTATGCTCAATTTTTGATGTAAATATTTTTAAAAGATATAAACAGTCTGTGCTGCCTGGATCTTGGTTGAACAAGTTGTTTCTTTATAATAATAATAAATGTACAAGTCATAAATTTAAATTGATTCAAAGTTGAAGTGTGTTTATTGTGAAAATACGATTTAGGTAAGTACAAAATAATGTTTTATATTTTAATTTTAAGGCAAAGTGCTTCATGTTTATGTATTTCTAAATATTTTGGCAAAGTGCTTCATGTTTATGTATTTCTAAATATTTTGGCAAACTGTTGGGCATAATTCTAAACAAATATTTGTTTCAACACATTATGATATTCATTCAAGTCCAAAACAATGATTAATACATGAATTTGTTATTTTAAACGTCAAAAGTGAGTTAGATTGTTTAAGATTAAACGTCAAACGTCAAAATTGACAGTTGTTTGACAGCTGTTTATTTCCAAATGTGTTAATTATTAAATATTTTATTTGAGAATAAAACCACAAAAACTTGGTGAAAAAATTCGTGGATAAATATCTTTAAATTAATCAAGTAGAACAGGTCGCATTTAGTTCATTTTTTCTTACTTCTTCTAAACTGCTCAAAGTCAGAAATATTTCAAAAGAGGAAAATACTTTTTTTCATTGTTCAAACAAAAGGTGTGTTTTTATACAAGGAAATACGTTTTTGAATGTTTTCTTTGAAAACAAATATTTGTGTATTAATTGTCGCGTTAATAATATTTATTAAAAGTGCAGTTGTAATCAATATTTCAATATTTACATCATAAAAGGGTCAAAATTCTTAAATGCTCTTTGTAAGTAATGTCTTTTCTTTTGAATCATATGTATCATTTTCAATTAAATTAATTAATTAATTCAATTGACAAAATAAATATTATTTGTTTAAAAAATTTGCACAAAATTAAATGATCAACATTTTTTTTAAATATTGGAATACTTTAAAATATCATTCAAAAGCAGAATAATGATTTTAGCAACCTAAGAGTACAGTTATGCTGTATAAGATAAGATTTATGAATCATTAACCTTATTGAATTCATGGACTTTATCAAACAAATTTTATTCAATTGCATTCAGTATGCAGGTTTGGTATATTTTTTTACATTTTGTCAAATTTTTTGGAAATTTTATTGTGGACACTTTTATATGTTTGTTTTAGTATAAACTAGATAAAATTTGCTAGAATTTAATGTATATTGTTATATTCACTTTTATATTAAAATTTTGAATAATTTGTAGTTGAAGCGCAGATTTGAGTTTGATAATTGGCTATAGGTGGATTTTGGATGTTTTTTTTACATTTTGTGAAATAACTTTAAAACTATGTTCAGAACATATTTATTTGTTTATACTAGTATAAACTAGATGAAATTTGCTAACAAATAGTATAAATTGTGTTATATACTTGCATATCAAAATTCTGAACAATTTTCAGTTGAAACGAAAATTTAAACGTAATATGTAGATTTGGTATTTTTTTACTTCAAATAACTTTTGAAGAAAAGTTATTTTTAATTTTCTTTTCGGGCACGTTAATTTGTTTACATTAGTAAAAACTATATCAAATTTACTAGAATTTAGTACAAACTAGTACATATAGTTGGATTCTAACATTTCGTATAATTTTTAACTGGAACGCGAATTTGTGTCTGTGGACATTTTATCAAACAACTTGAAAATTTTGTTCTATGCATTTAAATTTATTTAAATTGGTAAAAAATAGATAAAATTTAGATTTATAAATCATAAACCATATTAAAAGCAAAGACTGCTATTCATGCTTTTGTTATAACTACAGTGATGATACCAAATTATTCGATTATAATAAATGGTTTATTTGAAGTTGAATCCATGAATACTATCCATGGATTGTTTTAAGAGCTTTTTTTAAACTTTGGAAATAATATCAAGTTATTCGATTAACATAAATGATGTAACTATTCGGCTGTACTTACCTACAAATTATTCAAGTGTTTTTATTTTTTTACTAAGTTTTTGTGGTTTTATTTTCAAAGAAAGTATTCAAAGCTTACTTATTGTTACTAGTCTGATATTAAGTAACAATTAATCTTATTTTAAATGTATATCTTTAGAATAAATTATTATTCTTATTACAGGTACTTATGCACTTATAGGAACAGGAACCATAAAATCTGGCTTTCCCCTATACTAAAAAAAAATATGATCAAGAACTTATTGGACAAAATTTTTGGATGATTTTCTATTACGCCAAGGATGAAATTATCCTGTTTGATGAGCTTTCAGGGCGTGTACCACTGGAAAACAACAAAAACTTTAGTTGCAACATCGGAATTTTAGCAAAAAAAAATAGATTTGTTTTCGCTATTTTGGAAATATTTTGACTGATTCCAAAAGATTTTCGGACGCTGATTTGAAAAATGCTATCTATTTTTGGATAAACCCACATACACCCTGCGAAAAATCGAAATCTTTGGTTGCAAAATCGATTTTTTAAAAAAAAAATCGGCTTTTTTTCGCGATTTTCAAAATGTTTTGATTGGTTTTGATTGATTTTGGGACGCTGATTTCGAAAATATTATCCGTTTTTGGATAAATCCACATACATCCCCCAAAAAATCGAAATCTTTGGTTGCAAAATCAAAATTTTACTAATGAAATTAAATTTTTTTTTCGCGATTTTCAAACTGTTTTGACCGATTCTGATAGTTTTCGAGGCGCTGATTCCGAATATGAAATTAGTTTTTGGAAAAAAAAATTCTTCTGCCTTTGGTACCAAATTGAAGTTTGAAAAATTGCCAACTTTGAAGCTGATTTTAACTATGACGACGATTATAAATTTGTATTTTTTTTGGTTTGGTATAAAGATTGTACTTTAGTCTACACAAAGCATTAATTAAAATTATTAATT